ATCTCTCACAGAAACAAAGATCTGAGTATCACATGTTCTCACTCATATAGTGAACCTTGAACATCTATCATAATACTGTAAGAAAAGGATTGACAGTGGCAGGATTAACGGTAGTCAATATCTGCCTGGGGACAGGGTGACACCCCTTATCAACAAGGGTGCCTGAATGATGCATATTTGTATACATAACCTTTAACTGTACCTCACAATTTTAAAATAAAAATATGTTTAAAAAAAGAAATGCAAATAATAGCAATTATGCTGCAGGAAGCTGATGGAGAAATTTTTTTTTAAGTATGAGAGAAAAGCTTAATTATGAGAAAGATTCACTCATATCAACCTATAAAAAAAGCTATTCTCTGAGAAAAGACTACTAAATCCTCTTGACACCCCAGGCATGGAGCTGCTTGAGAGGAATTTCCAGTCCATCAATGAAGCCTAGACGTCTATTCAGGCTACCATGGAAACCACTAAAGGCAGCAAAAAAAAGCGTGCTCAGAGTGCTCAGAGATGAAAGCGCTTCCTTTCTCCAAGACTCCCACAAGCATCTGTGTTGTTTTTCTGTGTATGATATCTCCCACTGGTGCTCTTTGAACTGTACAGAAAGGTTATTCCCAGCTTAGTCATGGATTTTTGCCTAAACCTGGAGAGAATTCATTAGCCTCATCATAGCTCAAGAAATGCTTTTTTGAGCCAGATAAAAAAATCAAGCAATGCCTGCCATTCTATCTCATTCAGTCCTTCCCTGATCTATGCACACAGGAGAAAAAGTTCCACCAGTAACCCCTTGCTCCTGGCAGACAGGAACATAGTAAGGTGGCAAGTGAAGAATCTAAGCTATGGGCATCTTCCCACCCTCTCCACCCCATCCCTCCCTCTCCACCCCATCCTGCCCTTCTCAGGAACTCTACTCACGCACAAGGGTCCTATGAATGGGTAGCCAGACTTCAACAGGATAGAAAACACTGGGGTAAAATGTGGACCGACGAGAGCAGATGCCAAAACAATCCCCAAGCTCAACACCATCACGCCACATAAGATCTGAATAGTCTGTTGGAAAAGGAAGAGAGATTGAGGATTAAAAGCAACATTTGTAAAGATAGGCCTTTTCTCCTCTCTCATGGCCCTAATGCATGACCACCTTCTACAATATCCCAGGGAGTTTATAGACCCTGTGAAAACTCTGGAGGGAGAGACACGAAAAGACATTTTGGAGAGGGCATTGCTCTGCTACAGAGAGCCACAGTCTCAGGCCTCCCAAAGTGCTGGTATTACAGGCTAGAGCCACCGCATCCAGCCTTCTTTTTCTACCTTATGAGAATAAGGGACACCAGAAAGTCCTCACACTCTCTTGAGCATAATCAGTGTAGAAGTCCCTCCCCACAACCCCCAGACACAACAATATGGAGCCTGGCCCTCGGGTTAGTTCCTTGGAAACATCAATCTACAACCTTATAGCTGAGGATATTGAAATCTTATTTAAGAAGTAAAGTTTTCCTCCCAGATGTCTACATCAGAGTCACAGATCTGTTAACATTTACTAAGCAGTTTTCTAGACTTTATGTCACATGAACCTCACAGAATACGAGATTGTATATTTGATCTTACTGTATTTGAGGCAAGTGAATCAGTGCCACCAGTTTTTGAAACTTAGTCAATCAGAGTGCCTCATCTTAGATCATATAAGTCCAGAGACAGTTCTAGAAACCAAACTCTGCTTTCCTCCCAATCCAAGAAAGATCCCTTCTTCCCCTTCTCTCTGTATGCAATAGAGTTTATTTAATAAGTTCTGGAGGAGAGGACAGAGAGACAAACAAAAGGCAAATATTATCTCTGTTCTCAAAAGGGAAGGAGAAAATAGAGGAAGAAAGTGTGTTTTTCCTCTAATTTGTACTAAGGAAAAAAAAAGCATGCAATTGATGAAATGCAGAAAATGCATATAAAATATGTAATTATTTACCACCATGACTTTTATGAAAGAAAACTTAGGAAGTATAGTATTGCCAAAATGCAAAAATAATTAAATTCAATCACAAAACTCAATTGCTTGTATTCAGGATTATGGGGGGGGAATATTTTAAGGTCACCTCTTGTAGAAAAGTTCTGGGAAGATTTAAACAGCTCCCCAAGTGACATCTACCGGTCTTTGGGTAAGCCTGTAGGTCCTCAGACAAAGCTTAAGTATTTCCACACTCACAATGGACATCCTGTCCCAAGACACACAGTGTTTTCCTCTTCTCCTCCCCACCACCCAACACCCTCTAATATGTTCTGAATTGGATTTACCCCAATTGCTTTGACTTCTCCCTTTAGCTGTTTCTTCAGGCTATCCTGCCTCTGAGTGATGGGTTTGGGCTTCTCTGTTTGGGAGGAATTGGTGCTATTTGATGAGAGCACTATGACGGTCTCATTGATCATGAATTGTGACATCGTAATGGTTCTTGCCAACTCTGGAAGAAAAAACACATTTAGCTCTTAATAGTACAGAGATCCCAGATTCTGGCTCCCAAAACTAGTTATCTTTGCCCTAGTCTGGGCTTGGCTTGTCCTTTGCTGGGGGAGTGGGAAGAACCAGAGCAGTGAAAAAGCACACAACCTCGTCCTTGCAAAAGTTTTCTTGTAATGTTTGACACAGTCCATCTAATTATAGATAATAAACACATCATAGATGGCAGCGGTGTGAATCTTGAGAAGTCCCAATATTCAGAGGCAAGTGGTCATACAACATTTGCAAACTGCAGAAATCTCCCTTTCCCTGAGTCCTACCTGCCACAACTCTATTACCAGATATTTGATGAATTTCACCCCCAAACTACCCCACCAGTCATGAGATAAGATTAGGAATCTATTCTGCAATCTTTTCCTATTCAGGTTCTTTACCACTAGATTATCCAACTCAGCTAGTGATTTTTTTTGGGTTTGTTTTGTTTTTGGTTTTTTTGTCTAATACTACTATGTATCAGAATTAATCCTAGATATTTCATCATATTTTACTAGATATTATCCTGCAGTGTTTTTAATCCTTACAATAACCCGACATGTTAGCTAGTTGGCAAAATATGTAATATATAAGGAAATTCAAAATAAAAAGGTTAAGATATGGATGCAAATAATACACAATTTGCATATGTACATGGCATAGAGTGGACACTGCAGAAATATTTGCAGTGATCATTATTGTTCAGCTATATTAACACAGCTGGGAAGGAGGAGAGAACCAGTCTTGGATCCCAGCTATCCCTGAGTCTAAAGTCTTTACAAAGTTCTCTAGATCATTCTACCTCTTTCTACTTTCCCACCTGACAATGGCAGTCTATCTCTGAGTTTATTCAGCATGGAGGAGCGGCTGCATGCAACAGTATGAGAACACCATACTTAGATCCTCTCCTCATTAGCGTAAGGACAAAGTTGGCTTTGGTACTGGCTGCTGAGCTCAGCTTAGATTTCTTTCCACTACATCACTCCTGGCCCACGGACTGTCTGGTTTACAAATGGCTTAAGAATGTTTATAGAGACAAGAACTCTGCTCCCATTGACATTAGGCAAGTGACTCACAGAGATCACACAATTAGAAAACAGTAGAAACAGAGTTAACACCAGATGCTTCTTTCCTTTGGCCATTCTATTTCCAAAATGCTCTAGTATGTCTTATCTGCTCCCAGGGAGTTTCAGGTCAAATCACCCCTCGAATGGGATTACAGTAAGAGAGTGATGACCTGAGAAAAGTCTTTTGGCATTGCCTACCTCTGCTGATGGCCCAGCCCGTTGGTTCCAGTTGAGTTCTCAGAATCTACCAGGAGATTTAACTCTGGATTGTCAACAGTCCTAGCAACAGTTCCTACTCGTCTTCATCTTCTCAAAGTCGTCAGTCTTTTTTTATTCCAGTGTTTACGGCTACACAGGATATGATACTTACAGAATGTAGATTTGTGAAATGCGCCTTCACTTCCTTTTTTGTAAACTCTTAGCAACTTCAGAAAAAATCACAAAAAGAAACCAGTGGACAATTGGGAGAGTATGGGAGTCATGGAGATTTATGTGTGAGTTGCCACAAGTCTTACCAGTTCCCTGTTGTTAAGGCAGCCTGTGTTCTTAAAGCCTCATTTTTCTAATCTGTTAAAACAGGGTAAGAATACCAACATCAGAGAACTGTCTTAAGGATGAGAGAAAAATGTTTATAAAAAGTCTATACTGCTTTCAAAAAACTTTTGATATGTTACCAATAATAATAATAGTGCTAATAGTAGTAATATTGATAAATAGTTATATCCCTTAGTATATAACTAACCATAATAATAACATTAATGACTACACTTCTTTCAATGAGCATTGATAATATATAGCTAATAATAGTAATATTAAACATGGAAACAAACTTTTTTTTATATGTATTATTTTTTCATTTCCAGTTCTTGGCAGGTTGAAAGCAGCCTTTCCACACTCATTTTCCAACTGTAGCCAACACTAAAGTGACCTTCCCCCTCTGTCTACTCTTTTTTCTAACAGTAGATCATCACCCTCCAGAAAGGTGGGGCACCTCCAGAGAAGTAGTGAAACTGGAGGGGGCACAGAATGGGGAAGATTCAGCAGGACCTAAAAAAGTTCAACAAACTCACATGTGGGATGGTTTGGGGAAGACAGAGCCCCTGTGCCCTTTCACACATTATAGGTGCTCTTCGAAATCTGACATTAATATATCAGGCAAGGATGCCAGAGCCAGCCACAGTGACTGCATAGCCCTACTTTCTTCCTTCCTTCCTTGAGGGTCTTCCAGGACACACCCAGAAACACAGCCTCAACCATTCCTTCTTTCCTTGAGGGTCTTCCAGGACATACCCAGAAACACAGCCTCAACCATCATTGTCACCTCACGGGTTCTTCACTTAGTTCCAGACATTGACTCTTCTCTTGAAGAAAGGAATTAAGAAACTTATTTGGGAGGCTGGTTTAGTTCTCGGGCCAGAATGATACAGACATTACTTAATACAACCCCTCGGTCTTACACATTCTAGAGCTGAGTCTGAGAGAAGAAAAGGACTCCTCCAGAAAGCTGGGGGAAAGAGGCAGAATAAGTATCAACCCTTGCTCTCCTGAGCCCCTCCTGCTCCTTCCCCCTTTCTAGACGCCATGTTGTTTCCCATGGGTGCCCTACACTTTATCACTATCACAGCATCCATGCAGATCGCGGGATTCAGCTCCCTTCCTGAGCTGTGACAAAGGAGGAGGAGTCTGACCAATTAAGAAACAGTTGTACTCATTTTCCTTCATGGGAATGTGCTAATAAACCAGTTAAATCTGCCTACCCAGGTAAAGTGACCTCTGAGAAGTTTCAATGATAACATGAGAGAATACACTTAAGGTGCTTAGCACAGAACCCTACAGAACAGTGATCTAAAAGTGGTCTATTTACTGTCTTTCCCTAACACCTTCCCCAACAACTCTCTCAATAACAATCTTCCCCCACATATTTTTTTTTCTTTTCAAGTAATCTCTGAACAAGTCTCCTCTCTTTAGTCTTTCAGCTTAGAATTATCCCACCTTTACAAATTCTGGTTCTTCCAGAGTCCAGACTCCACCAACCTAACTAGGAGGGAGAAAACTGACAGAACAATACTGGTTGCTAAATGCCAATAGAACATGCTGATTAACCAGGTGTAACAACCAGAAACATCGTCAGATATTGTCAAATGTTCCTTGATAGAAGGGAAACAAAATTCCCTCATTTCCATGTTGAGAACCACTGATCTAGGAGCAAAAGGGTTTTTTGGTGACTTCTATATAAAGGCAGGTATGCCATAAACAGAACATTGTTTTCTTTCAATCAGATTAATTTCCTAAATTTTTTTTTAATACCATATAATTAGTAGAGGCAAGGTCTCGCTATGATGCCCAGGCTGATCTCAAACTCCTGTGTGTGAGTGATCCTCCCTCCTTCACCTCCCAAAGTGCTAACTGAGATCATAGGTGTGAGCTACTGCACATGGCCAATCAAATTAATTTCTTGATTTTTAATTTTTTGATTGTAGTAGAACACTGGTAATTCACCATGTGAACCATACTTTAGTGGGAAGTTCAATAGTATTAGTTATCCTCACATTTTTGTGTAGCAGATCTCTAGAACATTTTCATCTTGCATAACTGAAACTCTGTACCCTGTGATAATTCGCCATTTCCCCCATGTCCTGCCTGTAGCTCCTGTCAACCACCCACCTACTCTTTGTCCCATGTCAGTTCCAGGACAACTTTAGATAACTTATAGGCATGGAATCATAAATGATTTTCCTTTTTGTGGCTGGCTTACGTCACTTAGCGTGTGGTCCTCGAGTTTCCTCCATGTGATAGAACTTTCTTTTTTAATCAGGCACACTCATGTTCCATTGTATGTGTAGACCACATTTCTTCATCTATTCATTCGTCCATAGACATTTGTTTGCCTTCACCTCTTGGTTTTGTGAATAATGCTGCAACAAATATAGGTGTACAAATATCTTTTCAAGATTATGTAATTCATAGATCTCGAGGATTTGTTTCTAGAGATTCATTTTGTTCCTTTGGTTGGTCCATGTTTTCCTGTTTCTTGGTATGTCTTGTGCTCTTTTGCTGAGATTTGGATATTTGAAAAAATACCAACCTCCTCCAATCATTATAGATTGGCTTCATACACAGGAAAACATTTACTGATTGGTATAACTAGAGATTCCTGAGTGTCCCTCAAACCTTTTACTAGGGATGTGTATTCTCTGGAATGGTGTAACTTCTTGGTTAAAGAAGTTTGCCTGTTCTACAGTCTCTAGTGATACCTACTTTGTTCTCAGAGGTCTCCCCCCAAATGGCCTCCAAACTTGGTAGGTTTCTGTCTGCACTCTGAGTCAGGCAAGATAAAAAGCAGTCTGTTGGGCAACTCTCCCATTCCTAAAATCCAGAATGCTGTACTTGTGGTCCTTTTCTCGTGCCCTCCTGAGGGAGCCAGGACTTGGGTGTTTTCTCCAGATCAGGGTATACTGTACTAGAGTAAGAGAGTGGCCAGAGTAAATAAAAAGTCCAATTTTTTCTACTTATTTTGATGTATCTCTTCCTGATTGTGTATTCATCTAGGGTACTGCAACCTTTTAGCTAGTTTCTGGGGTTCTCACAAAGGCAATTTTGTTCATATATCGTTGTTAAGTCAGTCTCTCCATGGAGGAATGAGGATCTGAGGCTTCCTATTCCAGCATCTTGTTGGTGGTACTCAAGTTAATTCTTATTATTAGATCCTGTTTTGTTGAGAGGTCATCTAGCCATCCCATCTACCTGTGGCAGAGCCTAAAAACAGGTATTTACATGTGACAACCAGGGAATTGGAGGGTAGTTTTCAGAATCCTTTAACTCTACATACAACTATCTGTGCACATTCTCCATAAAATATTCCTTGATCCTGTAGGTATGTAGGCTGGTCTCTCTCTCTCTGGCATTTCTAGTTCCAAGGGTCTCTACATATAGAATAAGAAAGCCTGTATTCTTTGAACTCATAACAACCACCTGGGCTTTTGTTTCCTAGCTAAGTTCTATTTCCTAAGGACCTATCTGTATCTCACTCCAACCTCTCTCCTTCAGAATCAGGGGAATTTTTTTTTCTATTTCTTTCTCTTTTTTTTGAGTTGGAGTCTCACTCCATCGCCCAGACTGAATGCAGTGGTCTCGACCTGCTGGGCTCCAGTGATCCTTCCGCCTCAGCCTTCCAAGTAGCTGGAACTACAGGTGAGCACTACCACACACGGCTAATTTTTTTATTTATTGTAGAGATGAGGTCTCACCAAGTTGCCCAAGCAGATCTCAAACCTGCAGGCTCAGGCAATCCACTCACCTCAGCCTCCAGAGGCACGGGATTACAAGTTGAGCCACCAAGCCTGGCTTTTTCTATTTCATATGAACATCTGTCCTTCTCTTATAGTTCATTCCATGACCCCTCTCATACTCCATGCACTAGGAACTTTTCTCTCTTGATATATCATTCTGAAGCACTTATAATAGTGGATGCTATTCGTTGGAGTTTGAAAAAACAAAAGCTAGACATTCGACAAGATGGCCACGGCATAGGTAGATTCATAAGACTCTCCGAATATGAGTTCCCAAAAAGACTTACTTTTCTTCATGCAGCCCCCTGCCCACCGCCAGCCGCACTGGTATGAGGCCCGGGGACCTTTGGTCCCACACAGGGCCAGATACTGCGGCCCCCGGCTATGGCTGCTCCACTATATGTGACTCCCACCAGGTCAGAAGTCCTACGTCTCAGCTCCCTCCCTGGCTACATCATCTCGCCCAGCACCCAGGACCAAGCTGCAGGTCACCCAGGGAGGCTCTGGGCACCCACCCCTCAGAGATACTGGTCCCATTTCTGGTTGAAGTGCCCTGTGAGGGACCCAGGGTCACCACATGCCCTTTGGAGCTTTGGAGCTCTGGAGCCCTGGGTCCACCCTGGCTGAGGCACTCAGCATGTGACCTCAAGCTTGTGTAAGGGAGCAGAACCCCAAGCTTGTGTAAGGTGCTAATTGGAGGCTTCCAGTTCCAGAGGAGGGAACGCCCGAACCTCTCCTCCACCCCAGCCTGCTTGTGACACCCCAGATCCAGTGCCCAGCTGTGCAGTTGATCCCACCCAGAGACCCAGACAAGCATCCCTAAAAGTGAAAGTGCTAAAAAAATATACCTGCACATGTATGTTTAATGCAGCATTGTTCACAATAGCAAGAACCTGGAAGCAACCATGTTGCCCATCAAAAGATGACTGGATTAAAAAAAATGTGGTACATATACACAATGGAATACTATGCAGCCATAAAAAAGAGCAAAATCATGAATTTCGTAGCAACCTATACAGAGTCTATAATACTGAGTGACCTCTCACAGAAACAAAGATCCGAGTATCAATGTTCTCACACATATAATGGACCTTGAACATCCAATGTAATACTATAAGAAAATGACTGACGGTACTGGGAAACTATGGGGGAAGGGAGATGGGATTAACAGTAGCAAATATCTGTATGGGGATGGGGAAACACCTCTTATCAACAGGGTACCTGAATGAAATGTAATTGTATACCTAACCCTTAACTGTACCCCACAACATCATAATAAAAAATATTGATTAAAAAAAGTGAAAGTGAAGCTACCACCTCCGCCATTCTCAAGGCAGAATTGCATCGTCCCGCCCACCTATCAGAGCCTCCACCTGGGTTCCTATGGTGACGTCGTTAAACAGGAGACAAAGCCCCTCCCCTACACTGAACAGACTGAGACAACTAAGAGTCACAGACCTCCCAGGCAGCAGGCTAGCTGCCTGCAACAAAAACAAAGGGGAGAGGCTGGAGATCAGAGCTCAAATGACTTTAGCCACTAAGGAAAGATTACAGAACTAGTCTGATCTCTTATTTTGACCTTTGGTTTTATCATTCTGACTGTATGTTTTGCTCACTATTGTTTGCTTTCTAACTGACACTATCTGTTTCATGATCTTATTGGTCTGTCTCTGTGTAGCTACCAGTATTCTTTAGGGAATTTTCCTTCTGTGTTTTTTTTTTTTTTTTTACTTTTCTCTGGCCTTGTGTCTCTTTTTCACCTGTTAGTTGGTATGTTTGCCTGTTTTCCCTCTCACTCTTCTCTCTTTCAAACTTCCTATTGATTGCCCCTTCCTCCATTATTTTCCTCTTTTGTACCTCCTTTTGCTCCAGGGATGAGAGAAAAATCTACACAAATGAAGAAAAACCAAAAGAAGAATATGGGTCTCTCCCAGACCCTGGGAGGGCAGACACTGAGAAAACTGACTT